CTCCAGTTAATCAAAATTAGAAACAAATTAAATGCTGTAAAATATGTTTCTCAACTGAAAGATGCAGAATAGAACTGTGCAGAAGGAAAACCACACAGAATCTGATCTTCTGGCATGAAAAGGACCCAAAAAGCCAAAATTTACAAGTCTTGCTAAATTGTGCACATGTGATGGAGAATTCTCAAAATATAAAAAGCACAAAATTAACTTTTTTGATTCCAAGTTTGAATTGATTGCTTATAAAAATCATTGTGGACTTCTATATAAATATAAATAGCTCTATTTGTTCAAGAGATATTGAAATTTTAAAAAGTAAAAATGTAAAATTTTCCCATATATGTTGGAAAAGTGTCTGTATGTTGAGATTTTGTCTCTATTTTGAGTCTGATTTTTCAACATTTCAATTGTACCCAAGTCAAATTGTCTATGTTAAAGTGTCCATATTTTGGGGTCTGACTGTATTTATAAAAAAAAAAACGGAATGCCTTTCTATGGAGTTTGTTCCTTTTTCTGTATATTTTTCCAGCGAAGTACAACAAATTGTCAGTATTATAAGCTGTGCTTTTGTGATTTAGAAGGTGGTGTAATCTCCCCATGAAAGTGATCACATTTCAGAAGATAAGTCAAATTGTAGATGAAATCCTCATACAACACATCCAACAGTAAAATGATATTCATCGTGATGATGATTCCTCCTGCAAGATAGATTTGAATGCGATCTTATTTGTCCCACTTTCTCCTAAATTCTTGTGTGGCTTTTCCTTCTACCCGGATGTTAATCAACTTCTCTGGAGTATCATAAGAACGGATGATGTCCTGATTCGCCTCAGTCTCCGTCTATCACAGTTATGAGGGAAATTTCTTCGAAATAATTGACGCAATCTGAAAAGGAATCTTTTTATGAGTCGCGCATGGCTTTGATCCTGATACTTAAATGGAACTCCAAGGATATATTTTCTCTGCAATGGAGTTGGTTGCTCATGAACTATTTTCTTGGCCAATTTCTGCAGCATATACTCCATATATTATTGGGAAACGGGAGGATGAGGAAAAATTCCTGACATCAATTATGTTTGAAGTACAGAATTAGATTCAATACACAATTAGATTCAATAAACATTCAGTACACCTTCTTGTGATTTTCAAATTCATGATCGGATTCCCAAAATTGAAAAAAGCTCCCGTTTTTAGTGCTGTATGATGAACGAAAGAGTAGCATTTGGATCACCGTGTATATATCACTCGCAGAGCTGGTCTCAATTTCACAGTTTGAAGTTCTTTTCTTCATCGAAAAAACTTTCGTTCGCTGTTCGAAAGGGAAGTTATGCGGAACACGAGCGATTAATCTTCGTTATCGATAGAAGGGGGTGGATTATCCACGGTAAATAAGTCTGCTTTTATCCGTAACCTTGTTTTTGTTTTTCCTCATCATCCTTATTTTTTGTCACTGACCTCGTTTTCTGATCAGAATTGGTACTGTTCTTATCCCTTTGTTGTGAGGATAAGTGAAAAAAGTTTGGGAAATTGTAAATGAGGATATTCTGGGCCTAAACTTGCTCCCTAATGAGTTCACACCTTGCTGAACTTGGAGGCAGGGGTTTATTTGTATTAATCTTTCACTTCTTTTCAACATGCATCAACTTATTTGTTTTAATTATTTTCTCTTTCATATTTCAAGGAACTGATAACGAGCTGAAGGTCTCAGAAAATTAGACTTACAGAAGTTTTAGAGATAAATACTTGGAGTTAGGGAGGTTTTTAATGCATTGTTTCTAAGGGAATTCAGACAGGGACTTGAAAAAAATCCAACTTAGGGAGGAATTTGACTTAGAAAGGTTCACCTGTATCTGGAAAACTGCCTCAAGATACTTTATGAACATTACATCACCATTTCTGGACAAATGGAGGATTCTATTTTTCAAATATTTGATGCAGATTTGAAAAATTGAGCTTTTTATATTCACAGAAACAAGGCATACATTATGTGAGTGGACTTTCACTACAATGATCTTCTATACAATGATTGTATCTGTGCAACAAAATTCTATTTGGCCTATTTTTATGATGAAATTTTGTCTGGTCACTTGAATATTGTTGTAGAGAGAGTCCACTAAAGATTTGCTATACAATGGTACCTTGCAATTTGACCCTAATCCATCGCCAGACTAGGGTAAAAATGTAAAGGGGTTGAGTTGGAATTGGAATGGAAGACACTTTGTAAAATTCTAAAAGTGACTGAAGCTGGTCAAATGGGGGGGGGGGGGCAGAGGTCAAATTGCAAGTCAAGCTCACCGCAAATTTGACTGTTAAATTGCAGGATGGTCAAATTGTGAGGCACCACCCATAATTCATGTTCCAAAAGAGCCAATTTTGTGGTTCTTTTTTCAGAGTTTTTTGGGTCTTTTTCATGGCATAAGATCAGATTCTGTGTGGGTTTCTTGTGCACAGCTCTTTTCTGTACCCTGAAGTTGAAAAAAAATGTTATTGTATCAATGTTTTTGGGGACTTTTTCCTAATTTTTGATCAAAGTGCAGGATATTCGTAAATGTATTCCCATTGAAGTCTTAGGGAACTACAGTATGTAATTCTAAAAATGTAGATGTTTAGACATATGGACAAGGTCCAAGCACCAATTATTTGTCCGCATCTCGGGGCCCCACTGTAGATGTACTTTCTATTGTAATTGGCAAAAAACATTCTCACTCTAAGCCTACAAGATAAATGCCTAAAAAATGTTTGCCAAAGTATAGAAAACGTGTGCGCAATTCGCTTTGTCCAGTACTGCTGCATGAAATGTTTTCTTTCAATCCATAGATGTCGCTACTGTATAGTTTTCTGCACAATTCAGCGTACAGCAGTATATGCTTCAACTTCATGATATTTTGCGAGCAAGCGTATTTCGATTACGTTCTTCTTTCTATTTGCAAGCATTATTTTCTTGAGTCATGTATTTGAATTTCCCCAAGAGTGTGGATGAGTTTTCCTTTATTGCACAAGCATATGATGAATTTTCTTCTAGGAAGCGGGCCGAAAGAGAAACATGAAGTTGAGTTCGACGAAATTATCGGCCTCCCACGCGATATCAAATCAGCCAAATCGCCGATCGACTCACGAACTTGTTTCACGCCAACGTGCTTCATTTCCGTCTGCAGTCATCACAAGAAATGAGGTAAGTGTTGATCCAGGAGAACCTGTTTATTTTGCAAAACGTGTTTTAAAATGTTGCGAAAACTGGTTTGAATAAGTTGCAGGATCCCGCGTTCGCTCGGCTACGTGCTCAAAATCGCACTCGTCATGTGTTTCTACACGTTTGCCCTGTGGGTATTGTTCAGGGTATTGGCGAGTGTCACGAAACCGAAAAAGAACCGTGTTTTGGTGGATGGCGAGGAAGATTATCTTTTCGATGAGTCTGATGCTGAGGATGAGACGCTTTTGGAGCACGTGGCCGGAAATTACGTGGATTTACTGAGGATTTCGAAAATCCTCGATCGGAGGAATTCCACTGAAGATTATTCCCTGCGCATGCCGAGTGATGTGGATCTTTCTGAACACAAGCAAAGTTCAGCTCTTCTCCAGTTGCTGAATGCGAAGGTGTTGTTTTATTGATTTCTCCTCTTGTTGAAAATGTCGAACTTG